TCGACATATCACATGATATCTAGATTGCTACATTTCACACTGTACTAATGTGAATATCCAATCATGGGCAAAGTGTAAACTGATATAGGGATCTAGGTGTCTGTGTGTACTCCAATAAGAAATAAACATATGACATCATTTCTGCACTTTACTAGTAGCGTTTCTTATTTCTTATTATTTAAAAAAATTTTTGCAGCATCACAGATTTAATTAATAGTAATAAATGTAACAAATATTGATCTAATTTCTCATATACTTGTGTAGTTTGCTTATCAAATATTTCTAATAAGTAAATACAAGGTGGGCCAAAAGTAGGCTTACACTTAGTAGATATGCATATTACATTTTTTAAAAACATTTTATTACATTTATATAGGTACCTCCACTGAATTTTCAATACCCAAGTTTTAAAATGAATTTTTAAAAATGTAAAAGCATTCTTGAATATCTCAATTTAGCTTTAATTGAAAGCTAAATGATTAGATTTATTATTTCCAGTAAGTAAAATATTCTGGTATATTTCAGATAGAAATTATATAGATTGGAATGTCAAATATATGCTCAATTTTTAAAAAAATTTCTTAAAGCAGCCACTTTCTTAATTTTAACAAATTTTTAAACAATACAAAATTACTGGTTTAAAATTCTTCCTAAAATAAATTATATATTTCTGACATATTATTTGAGTAAAATTAGAAAATTTAAAGTTAAATTAATCTGACTAAACAAACATTACTTATAGCATAAAAAATAGTATCCAAACATTTCTTAACAATGTGTCCTATTTTTCTCATGTCTTTATTGATGTTATTGATTAGAAGGTGATGACAGCTAGTATGGATGACCAAAATTGACATAAATTTACAAAATCTAAGCAAATACATATTTTTGGGGTTATTAACTAGTAATTTTTACATATTTACATATTTTCAGCAAGTATTTAATATTTTATTGACTTTTAGTTATGTTTGAAGATGCTTTATGAAAAAATAATAAAATTAGATTAATTTTTAAATTTTAATAACTGACATAAAATACCATGATAGAGGTAAAAATCAATAATTTATGAAATGTTACAGTATTTTATTTATTATTAATTATTATCATGATGGTTATTTTTATTAAATTTTTATAAATTTTATTATTAATTAGATAATTGTTTAAAATTTTATTATTAATTAGATAATTGTTTAAACTTTTCATATTTTAACCCAATATTCTAAACAATATTGAGAAGAAATTGCTGCTATGTATAATGGTGAAAAGACTTTCAGAATTATTTTGTGGCCCTAAAAAGGTTGTTTTTATCTTCCATTGCCTCTTGATTCGTCACTATTGTTGGGCTTATTTTCGATATACAAGTCCTGCATAACTCAGCGCCAACTTCATATTTGGTCAAATGATAGTAGTCAGTTACATCATTGAGATATGGAATTGTATAAAATTGATCTTCATAACTAATGATGTAGCCAATGTATTCACAGTTGATACCATCTATATTTCAAGTGAGTATTTCATGCAGGACTTGTGCATATTCAGGATACTCAGAAGCCAAAGAATAGACAGACAGTTCTTTTAGATTTTTCTGGATCTTGGCCCTTTTCTTTTTTTGGTGATTATCATCCTTAGCCATGATCCTTCTGCCAATTTCTTTGTTGACCATGTTGCCGCATATTCTTCATCCCAGTCTTCTGTCTGCCATACATCAGTGCCTGCGGTAAATATTTCTGGAACTGCTCAGCATCCAGATCATCAATGAATTTTCTTACTTGATTCCACTTGGCCTTGATGACAGCACTTATGCTTGATACATAACCATTAGGCGCAAACTTCTGTCTTTCACAAAATTCACAGATGATGATTTCAGCTAACATGGTATGCTCTCTCACTGAGTTGAATGATTTTGCATACTGCCTGCTTAAAACCTCTACAATCTCTTTTAAACAGGCAGTTATCATTTGGTGAAATAAGAGTTCATTTGCTGGGGCAATCACTAGCAATGCTATCACATTCTTTGGTAATGTATTTCTAAAGAAATCCTCTGTAGAGCCTAAAATAGACATAGGGTTTTCAGAGTACCTTCAGATTGTCAATGACCCCCTTGACAATGTTCATAATGTCAATGGGGTCTCTCTGGTTATTTACACTGGTATAGAAGGTACTCATCCAAACCCTGATAGCATCTTCCCTATGATTCCCAGCACTTGCATCTCAACAATAGTGGCTTCTTCCATAATTATCTGCTGAAGTGTTGTAATGGTCTTATTCATTGAGGAAAGTCCCAAGACAAATTGCTTGCATTGATCAAAAATGAGAAAGTAAGTTGCACCTAGATGAAAAATTACATGCAACTGATTCTCTTGGAATCTAGTGATATTGGATCATAGAAGACCTTGTTGTTCAATAAAGGTCCTCAATTTTGAAATAAGGCCAAATTTGTCACTATATTTAAAGGAATTGAAAGCTACAAGAATTCACCATGCTAGGCACTCACTCACATTTGTATTTCTGTCACAATCACTCAGGACCTTCCTCATCTTTGTTGCAACTGTCTCTAAAGGATAAAAATTGCAGTACATTTCTACAAGTTTCACCTGCCACTCCTTTTTCACTAATGAAACCGTTGAATGGTCAACAGGAGCCCAGCCTGTCAAGCAGCATTTGATTTTTGAAAGTATGAATTTTAAACTGGCATCAACACTTATGCCAGTAGACAGTGAGCCTACTTTAGCTAACTTGTTGATGTAGTCACAAATATGCTGCTTGTATTCCATTGCATTCCCTCCAGGAAGACGTTCCAGTGATACAAGATGGAAGGATAATGATGTTGTTAATACCACACAGTTCACATAGTTGCCATCTTGCGTTGTAGAGTTGAAAACTAAAGTGCAATTTCTGCACTTTGCACATCATCAAATGTCTTCACATCTGAAAGGAAGCCAAGCTCACCCACCATTCTATAAATTGTTGTGGAACTTTTTTTAAGAAAGTGTTCCATGGACAATATTTTCAAAACAGCCGTTAAAAGTTCAGAAACATGAGAAGCAGGAACTCCATTTAAAAGACAGTCATAATGGAGTTTTCTGCCAACAAAAGGATGGAAAATTTTCTTTTTCTTTTTTTTTTTTAGTTCTTTTATTATTTTTTTTCCCATCAATGAAGTTTTTTTGTATTAACAATTTTTGAAGAGTTAGTTTTACTATATTTGGATAAAGGAATGACAGATGTTTCACAACACAGGTCAGAAGTTTCACAAGATAGGGTTGCAGTTACATCAGAAAGGGTTGCAATTGCATCAGACAAGGTTGTGTTTTCAGCTAACAATGTTGCAGCTGCATCAAAAAGGTTGACCTTGCAGCATAGTTGAAGTTGCAACTGGGGTGGTGGTGGTGGTGCTAGAGGCAATGGAAGATGTGGCAGCAGCAGATTGATTAACAGAATGGACCACCACTTTACATCTTTTTTCAAAATCAGGGAAATTATTTCATTATTTCTTTTTTTTTTGTAAAATACAGAAAGTTTCCTAACTGAATATAGTTTAATAGCAGGAAAACCATTTTTAGTATTCTCCTGGGTAGCCCATTCTGCTATCTTTGAAAATGATCCATATTGGTCGAAAGGTTTTTTAAATTATGGCCACACTTAATCTGCTCTCCATGGTTTACGCAGTGATAATTTTCAATATTTCTTCTGTTTTCACCATCTAAAAGTTAAAAATTAAAATAAAGTTAAGCAAGAAAAACACATTAATTTGGAAAATTTTTTATAATAATTAAAATATTCTGCAATCTTAATACTAACTAATCACTAAACAATTGCTAAAACATTTGATTAACAATTTTTTAAATAATTAACATTCAGTCAATTTTGACATATGAAGCATATATTTTTAATTTTCTATTTTCTTCAATACAAGAAATCTGTGATGAAAAGTAAGTTTTCAACACCATTTTTTGTAGTTTTCAATGAAAACTATTCACAATTAAAATGAGAAAAGTAATTTCAAATGTGAATAGAATAAAGTATTAAAATAAGAACTACAAATAAAAATTGAATAAGAAAGATTTAATTTTAAAAAGCTAAAAATTATTTTTAGCCTTGGTTTCTTATCTTATTTAATAACTTGAACAAAATATTACTTAAATGAAATATGAGCTGGATATATATGTGGAAAGGTTTGGTTAAGTTAGTCCCTTACTGCCAAAGCATAATGGGGAGGTGCTCTATCTTGGTGAAGTTAGATCTAAAATATGAAACAAATAATGAAACAACTGTAAGCCCACTTTTGGCCCACCATGTATAAAAATAATATGCACATGTATGATTGTTATATTGTTGTAAAACTCATTATTGTGATGCAGTCAACTTTACACAGGTCAATTAATAATGCTGCCTTCCATTTAAAGACCCCTCTTTGCTTTAGGTATTTTAGAATAGCAAAATATCAATAACTCTCAATATCAAATTTTGGATATTACTTATGGGATCAACTGACACTATAGTTAACTGATTTGTCCCTAATGCTTCTAAGTTCTTTCAACATTTTCTTTTTAAATCTTCACAAACAACTCCTGACACATGCTTGCATCTGCTGTATCTTTACAATAAGCTTTCATTTTATTATTATTATTATTATTATTGACCTTCCATTGCTCCCCCCCCCAGATTAAATATGAAGCATAAGTAATGTTGAATGTATGTTTGACATTTTGTAGCTCTTTTGTTAAGTAAACTCTAGATTTTTTTCTCACTGATGACAGTCACATGTAATATAAGCTGCATATGTTGACTATTAATAATAGTTCTCCCAGGGTAACAGATAAAGGGCTGTTAGTCTCATAATCATTTTCATATTTATTTATTGTTACAGACAGGCTTTAAGTCTTTAAAGAAAAATTAATTTCTATCTCTGATACAAAATTTACCTTAGTTATTTTCAAAATTAACATGAAAATTTAATTGTATTTTCTATGGTACAATGGATTTGATCTCTATTCCAGGTGATGAAGTAGTTGAATGGAATGGTCGCTCATTGCGAGAGGCAACATTTGAAGAAGTGTATGACATAATATTTGAAACCAAACATGAACCTCAAGTAGAATTAATTGTACATAGAAATGCTAAGTAAGATATTTTTCTATTTTTACTACCTATAATTGTTTCATCTTTTAATAGTTCATTTTTAAATTATTTGATGTTTATAATAATGTTCATAAGTGAAATCTGACTATTTTTTAACTTTAATTTTGTATATTTTTAGTAAAGATTTAAATTGTCTTTGATTTCTTAAAACTATTCGCTTTAGTAAAACAAATGAAAACAATGTTCTTACTGGTCAGCATCAAAAGAGATACCAAGTAGGTTGTGTATGATGTGGCATCCGCAATAAAAAAAAATCCTTTTTTTATCTGAAATGTATATTTGAATATTGGTAGCATCCTACTGTATAAAAGAGAATATTAACCTGAGAGAAAGCAAGATATTTCACCTGTGATAAAAGTGTATCATCTGACCATGAAAGTGTATTCTTCTTTTTCTACAGCAGGCATTATATAATGTATGATTTTCAAATTAATAAAGTTTAGTGTTAATCTTTTTATCCTGTAAACTTAGATAACTAGAATTAAAATCACTTGTATTTGAAATTTTAAACATTTCTTATTGATATTACAGAACTGGTGAGATTCCTCCTGGATTACAACCAGTGGATCATCCATCTAGAGGTAAAGTATAAATATTCTTTAAAAGCCTATTGTATAGGCAAAGATAAAATAATTTTTTTACTCTTCATCATAATAAACCTTTATCATTTTATTAAAAGGATAGCATTCATTAGATAAAAAGGGGATGTTTATTATTTTTTTACAATGATATTCATCCTCTACAAAGCCCAAGATCCACTCAAGGTAGAAGGTTACAGAGTAAGAGGCACAGTTTATGAGGATATGTGGAGAAGATAACGATTGACCCTAGACTTGAACAGATGAAGATTTTAGTGATCAAGGAAGCGTCCTTTTGGGAGTCGGTTCTACAAAACAGTGGTTTGTGAAAAGAAGCTTCATCGAGTGGAACTTATATCTCACTAATGGAATACAAAGGAAATGAGGGGGGTTCACTACAATGTGTGTGTGGCATGGTGGGTTTTAGCTGTGAAAGTTAGAATTCGTGCAACTAAGGAATGTAGTTTGTGTTATGTTTTTTCAATTACTAGTTTACATTAAGTTTCTTTTAATTAGTTCTAACATAAAAATTTACAAGCATAATACATCATTAAGCTTTCTCATTAATAATTATTATTACTCATTTCTGTAAAAATCAAATATAATTTAATTAAACACTCAATAATATATTAAAAAGTATTGACCACTAATTAAAGTAACTTGATTCCAGGAAAATATAAACGGAATTGTCATAGTTCGTGAATCATTATTAAAATAATATTCTACTGCCCTGAAAAATATTTTTTCTGCTTTCCAGTAATACCATTTATTCAATATTAAAAAGTATGATATTATACATAATACAGTAGTGGGTTTATAAAAATAATAGGACCTTCCTGATAATAATTTAAGATATCAGATTAAAGATATATTAAAGATATAATCACTTCATTGATGATACATTTTGGAACAGTAATTAATTTATCTCTTCTACAATTTTATCTTTCTTTTAGAAAAGAAGATTTTATGGCATTTTACAGAAAGATTAGTTTATTAAAGATAATCTAAAATGAAATTAGATAAGAACTTTAGATAAGATTTTTCTTATCTGCAACATTAAATATCCAACCTTTTTTTAGATATCTAAATTGATTTCATTAAGATGTTTTTCTAAGTTATTTCTCTTATAAAATTCCTGAGAATGTCTGCAACTTATTGGTCAATGAGAAGAGAATCTCTCATGTTGTCCTAAAAACTCAGTTACATTTCTTGTTCAGTGTAGACAGTATAAAATAGTTATTTAAGAATTGATATTTAAAAATAAATAAATTCATAATATTGTATTCATGTTATACTGGAACACACCTATCTATTGTTAATAGACTCTCCCACCTATAATAAGTAGGAGAAGTAGCAGTTGCTCAGTGAGTTGGTCAGTCAGTCGATGTCAGACGACCGTTAGTCGGATATTAAAGTATCAGCCACCACAACTATGTCATTACCTATTATATCAAGTTCCTAACGTTTTGTACGTCGAACCTATTTTAGGACCGACAGTGAAATACAAGCCTCCACTGTGAAACTACTCTATAACAATTCATGAATTCAGTTTTAATGAATGATATAATTATCTCTTATTGTTATTTTATTCATATATATCTTATAAACTCATTTCCTTACAAATGATTTCATTGAAATTTCTATAGAATGTTTTTTCTGTTTTTTAATTTACACTACCAAAAACAAATATTAACCTTTTTATTTTGTTAAATATTTCATGTTCTTAAACTTCAAACAGTAGTTAAATGTGTTGACTTTTACAAAAATTACTAAAATAGAAAACTGATATTCAATACTTCAAAACATGTTTGATAAGTGTTATTGATAGGTCTGTAGTAGTGAATCAGCAAGAATGATTTTACTTGAAATTTTAATTACAATTGTTGTTATTCATTAGTAACTTTTTGATACTCTGATATGACTGTAACCTAATAATTTCAACAGATTTCCATTATTGACAGTTGACTCATCGAACTGCATTTTTAGAAATACCTATCATCTGCAGTTAATGGGTTTAATATTCTAACTATAAGATTTAAAATAAGACCTAATTCTATAAAATCAGTTTTTAAGTAATACATGTGAACCCTAGAGACCAATTCTACTTGCTGATAAGTGCAGATACAAAATAGACCTTAAGTGGTCTTTGTCATTAAATGGCACCCCATTTTAAGAACTACTTTCAGTGTAATGAGTTTCCACATGTTTATTAAACCCTATGTACAAGATGCGATGGATAAATTGTCATATAAATTATGCACAAATGAAAATAACACTAACATCTTATTTTAACAGATATATTGTATTTACCATAATTAAACAAAAATATCTTGAAATACTAGAGTAAATTTATTCAATATAATCGCCATTGTCTTCAACCACAGCCTCAAGACGACTTCAGAATCCCCTGCAACTCTTCTGGATGGTCTCCTTGTTTAAGTTGGTAAATGCTGCCATAATGCTTGCCTTCAGCTCATCTTTGGTGTTACAAGAAGTATTGTTGGTCTCTCGCTCAACTGCACCCCACACATAATAATCAAGGAGGTTGCAGTTTGGGGAGTTAGATGGCCAGTTGTAAAGGATGATGTCGTTGCAGAAATTGTCTGACAGTCACGACTGAGTACTCTTGCTGGTGTGACATGGTGCAGAATCCTATTGCCAGACATAGGTTCTCCAAGCAGCCACCATCTTGACCCAGGGCAGCACTACCTCATCAAGGCACTTGATGTAGGCCTTCTTTGAGTCTGAGGCCCAGTGGGAAGATGAATGGAGACATAACATTGCCATCACTAGTGATCACTCCAAAAACCTTCATAATCATCATTAGACTTATCCAACTTTTTCCATATCCTCTGCACTCTCCTCAGATTGACACCCAAACACTCTGAAATGTTTGTATTGGTTCTTCCTGCACAAATGCCAAGCAGTCCAGCATACTGTTCCCAAATCTCTGGAAGAGTGAATTGTGTCATGGTGCTCTTTTTTCTCACAGACAGTGTGTAACTTATCCTACTATACTGTGCAGTTGACAAAATCAAAAATAAACAACATGCATGTGTGAAATTGAAAATATAAAATGGAGTCAATTTACTCATAGCACTCTGTACATAGGAAAGGTATTCTACAAAGTATTTCTTTCAGGTGTAATTTCTTCAAGGAAAAATGTTATAAAAGAGATTTCAAAAAACATCTCATTAGTAATTCTGGTTTCTCTCTTCCACCTGATGTTTTGTTTTTTGTTCAAAGAGATACAAGTTAATATGACCAAAGCAACAAGTAAGTTACCATATAGTTTGGTTGGTTAATAAGGTTTTGCCATACACTTAACAGCTATAACTGATGCAGAAAACAAACTTTTTGCTGTTTTGAATGTTGTACAAGCACTGGTTATATTTTAACCGATTAATTTTAAAAGATTCTTGATTTTCTTCAAATGAAGCTTAATTTTTTTCTGTTTATTCAATAGCAGTCTTATTTCAATTTTTTTGTTAAATTTCATTTTTTACTGCTATTATAATTTCAGTTTATTTTTATAATTCTATAAGTCTAATTAATAATACTAAATTTTATTTCTTAGATAGCAATTTTTGCAGCAGAAGTGATTTTTTAGCTGATAATAAATATTAAACTTCAATAGTAATGAATACAAAAAGATTGGGTATTTTTGTTTTAGATTATATTTGTTTTTGTCCTTGTAGATTTTGGCTCTAAAGATGCTCTCATGACTCGTCCAAGTGTCATGGTTACTTCCCCTGGATCACCCAGTGCCTCAGGAAAGCGGACTCATTCACCGCAAATCACCGGAAGAATCCAGGTAAAATGATTTTAATTTCTGTTTAAAAAACAAGAGTTTATTGTGATTTTTCTTGCAGACCTGGCTGGTGCTTATTTATAAAATCTCCATTTACAAGTGCAATGTTTTCAGTTACATTTTCTTTTGAAAAGATTAACCTAACAAGAAAATACCTTATATAGGGTGTTCCAATAAGTTGGACCGATTTTAAATTAATTTTAAAATCGGTCCAAGTTATTGGAACACCCTATACTTTGCTTTTGGGGGAAATAAATTTTAATTGAATTGTTTGTACTTATATTTTATAGTGAATTTCTTTGTGTATTATTTAAATTACAAAAAAAGCTCTTATTCTATTTTCTATTACAAATGAAGAAAGCAATATTCAATATTTGTTGTCTTGCCTGACAATTTTATTGTTATCACATGTTGAAAAATATTGTGAAACTAAAGGTCAACAAAATTCTGATTGTTAAAGTAAGCAATTTCATTCTTATTTAATTTAGTTTTATAAACACTCTTTTGTAGGTTCGAATGTGGTATGATGACACTCGTTGTGAACTTTCAATCTGTATTATCACTGCTATGGATTTACTTCTTACAGCTGATGGCAAATTACGCAACCCATACTGTAAGCTCTATTTGCTCCCAGATAGAAGGTAAATTACTATTCTAAAAATTTTAATTATTGTTTTACATAATTTGAATATATTGTGAACAAAAGAAATTTTTTTTTCTTTTGACCATTTCCTATAATTGAATTGCATACGTTTTTGCTACCAAATTCTACAGTTTTTATTCATATAAATCACAGAGAAGTCATTCATTGAAGAACCAAGAGAAAGCTGACACACTTTCAACTGCTATACTAGCTTATTTTCTTCCTTTGCAATTTGATGTCTGTAAATTAATTCTGTAAAATAACCCAGTTACTTTCCAAAGATTGAAAAGTTGAAGAAAATCTGTATAAACTGAATATGATTGACATGAAATAGAAAGTAATAAATAGAACCTGAGTGTGTTTTATGTCAGTAAAAAAGAATAGTGTGATTTCTTTTTACTTAGAGATACTTACAATGACTTTATTAGAAATCACAATACATAATAAAAAGGAATCATCAGCTTGATAAGTGTTGAACATCATTTACAAAAAGAATATGTTTTTAATATAAGTGCAGAATTAATAGAAACTATCTCTATATAACTTGTTGAATTTTTTGTACTACTTTACTTTTTGTTGGTTTTGTAAAATCTTCAGTAAAGTTTTAATGGAATATATAAAATACTTAATAAATAATTCTTTTTCTTGCTGCATTTGTTTTTCAGTGAGAAGACAAAAAGACGCACAAAAACAATTGCCAACACAAATGACCCCACATGGAATCAAACATTTGTCTATGTTGCTGGGAAAGAGTCACATTTCAGACAAAGACTGCTGGAAATCACAGTGTGGGATTATGACAGGATGGGTGCAAGTGAATTTTTGGGTGAAGTAAGTGATTTTTATTTTACTCTTTTTTTTTTTTCTTTTTTTTTTCAATTCACTTATTATAATGTGTAAGTTGGTTATCTGTTAAATCAATTTAAATGTCATCATTAGGTCTTGTTCTTACATCATTATAAAGGAGGGCTTTTCTAAATTATTAATCAAAGTTAATAAATTTAATTTTCTTCTCCTATCCCCCAGTTATATAGATAGTGATAGTTGTTTCATTTAGTTAGATGTTAAACCTAAGCTTTGTTAAACTAACTTGGAGAGAAATGGTTGTTTTGCTTGTGCTAGCTGTTGGTTTGTAACTAGTTATTTCATATGAAGCATCAGTTTGTTCCTAGCCCATTAGATTTTTTTTAATTGTCATATTTTTCTATTTTTTTGTGTGCGTGTGTGTGATGAATGCAGACAAGGTTTGCCAAGAAAAAAAAGATGGCGGGGCGGGGGAGAAAATAGAGTAGACAAATTTTCTTTCTTAAACTGGGCAGAAAAAGAAATTTACCAGAGCCTGTACAATATTGTCCTTGTAATGAAATAGGTGCCAAACTTGGGCTAGAGCATAGAAAACTAATATAAAGATAGCAGTCAAGCAGAACTCAAACTCTATTGGCTAATGGTCATATGTGCCAACATTAAAATGGAGGCGAAGTTTGTAAAAGCCTGTTACTGGGAGGAGAATCTGGGTCTGATCAGCCCTGATTGGGTCACTTGTGGGAGAGAATACAATGTTGAGAAATCCAAAATTCTTGAGGAACCCAGAATTATATCACTGATGCCTCCCTCCTGTTCAACGAAAAATGTATTTTGCAAAATGAGATGCTACACTGATGATCAGTTTTTATGTCTCCTAAAAAGTCATTAGTTGATTACATAACTCTGAATATTTCAGTAAAAATTACTGAAAAAACATGCAAACATTTCCACTAATGTACCTATAAAATATTTAAGAAACTTTTTAGTTAAAAAAAAAGACAAATTTAATGGGCTAAAAAAGAGCAGTAATTTATATTTAGTTTCAGAATTTTTGCTTAACATTTTAAATTTGAAATGATGTGTCATCAGCTTTTACATTTTCTGAACTCGTATACTTACATGTTAGATATGTAAAATGCAAAATAATCCAGTTAGATAATAGTTTTCTTTGTTTTATTCTGCAGATGGTCAAAGGTTTGCAGAGGCTTTTGTGTCTCTGTATATTACTGATTTTATTACATATTCTACATTCGTGTTTTCACTTTATGCCTATGTTCGGCATCAATATACATGCTCTATGTAGCATATTTTTATGATGAATTTGTATAAGATGCTTTTTCATTCCTTTGAATTAGGCTCAGGTATTTTGTTGTTGGTCTTGCAGCATAAAATTTTATTGGGGGTGCCTAAAATAAACCAACATTCAGCATCATACCTTTCAAAGTTCAAGTTTTGATATAATATTCCAAAATATTTTATGATGAATTTCTCAAATTTGGTAAGCAATCAAAATATCCATAATAACCTTTGTTGTATCATATATTTTTCAGAATTCAATACTATATTCTTGAAATGTACCATATTTTAAATAGAATATGGTATAAACTATTCAAGATAATGTTGTAACTGGATTCACAGTCAAGTTTTATTTGTATAAAGTTTATTTTGTAAGAATTACAATAAATATTTTCATATAAAAATGAACCACTTCTCAATAATAATAGTTTAACGGAATTCATTCATTAATCATATAGTTTACAGATGAAAGTAGAATTCAAAATTTGAATGCTGATTCAATTCCACTAATATGTCTCCTTTCAAAATCTGATAATTACCAAGCTCCAGGAGTATGAGGTAGTTATTTTCCTTATATTCTTATTGTAAACTGTCAATGAATAGATCTTTATTAAATAATAAATTTTAGTAAAATAATATTCTCTCAATGAAGCAAAAGCTACTAGCATTTTTAACAAAAGTTTTTTATATGAATTTATAGCTTCATTAATCACTCATCAAAGTATTCTTTCAGGCTTTTGTTGATCTTGCACCACTGTTCAGTTAAATAGTTTGTTTATTTTTTTTTTATAAAACAATGATTCCAGTTTTAATAATTCAATGAATCTTTTGAGGAAATGTTTTTGAACTTGACCAGGCATGTTTCATGGAATAAGAACAAGTAATTATCTGATAGTGCTAAATGTGAAAGTTCTGTGGTCATTTGTAACATAAGGACAGACATTATCAAGCAGCAAAATTGCTAGAAATTATTCTTTACTCTTCTAATGTATCATTTAAACAAACCAATTGTTCATTAGAATATTCCACACTTACAGTTTATCTAATTTCAAGAAATTTGTAATAAAGGATTCTCTTTGAATTCTACCAAATACAATAAATGCTTTCCCTAGTAGATTCCATTGTGATATTGAAGACTGCTCATGATTTTATTTATTTAGGATTGTTGCAATAAATCAATTTTCATTAGCAGTGACTACTTTTTTTTTCCAAAATGATATTTTCTGTTGTGAAAGAAGACAAGGACAAGTTCAAAATTTCTTTTCTAACATATCTGAAATTTTCCAGCAGGTTGTAAACCATGTACCACCATTGACTGATTACTTTAACAAAGAGCTGAGTAAATGTTAAAGGCACTTCTGACATATCTCTAACACTATACAAAAGATATTACTGGGAACTTTTGCATCATTCTTAAATTTCTGTCATATCCTTGTAGATTTTTTACTGACATAAGGGCTTACAATTGAACATTAATTTCTATGGAGTTTTGAAAAATGTAGATACCTAACTACAATTAAGAATCTACCATGAGCATTAATTTTGTTTACATAAAGATTTTGAACATGCATTTTACATTTTCAGCAGAAAATATTATTCATTTCAGGTGATAATTGACTTATCTAGAGCCAACTTTAAGGACGATCCTCTTTGGTACACATTAAGACAACATGATGAGTCCAGCATTTCACTGCCCGCATCTTCATCACGCACAGTAAGTGGAAAATTCTCTGACTTCATAGCATCTTTTCTTAGTTATGAAATCTGAGTAAATAATTATTAAAAGGTTTTCTATAATAACTGAAATTATTTTTTTTATTTTAGATACACAAATTAAAAAAAAAAGACACCAGTATTCAGAGAACGATTACTTAGTTATTTATTTTAGTGCATCATTTTACTTATAATTATTGTCACATGACATATACAATAGTCAGTGCATTATGTAAACAAATTACCTGTAAATAATCAGCAATGCCTTTTTATAGCCATCAGCCACTTATATTATTATCAACTAAAACTGATTTACATTTACATAAGTAGCAAATAATCATTCTAAGTAATGTGGTTAATCAAAATAAGTACTGCATAATTTGTTACATTAAAATATCTCACCTGTATTTAAAATCTTTTATAAACAAAGGAATCCAAATAATATATAAGTACATTTATCATAAGAAAATATAGTGTTTCTCTCAATACTTGTACTTTGGATCAAATGGATTTGTTATAAATGCTAAAATAGCTATTATAACTTAATATAAATCCATCTTTTCAGTCCTTTAGTAATTTTTTTTGTTACTATTTTGTGTTATATTTATCTTTTTACTGTTCTTACTCACATGACATTATAATTTAATTTCTCTTTTTTTTTCCTATTTCTACTCTAAATAATTCTTCTGTATTATCTTTTCTTTAAATAATAGAACTGTCTTTATGAATCTCTATGTCTGTCCACTTGTATCTGTGTATGCCTGTCTATTTAAGTGACTAGCTAATCTCTGTTGCAGATGCCTACTCATTTGTGTTTGTCCAACATCCACAGAACTAACCTATAGTTTATATAGCAGATATGTTGAACAGACCTTAGTTATAGTTTTTGGAAGAGAGCATATAATCTGGCATAATCAACAGTGAACAAGGCCAGTATGCTCAAACCCTTGATCATTATGACTTGTGACTTTGTGCAAGCACAACTATCAACAGTTTCCAAACAGTTTTGTCAGCCCAATTTCACTCACAAGGATAGGGATCAAACCTTTCCCAACACTGCTGCACACTGAGATTGTCTCCCCAGACTGATATTCCATCCTGAGTATGATGATAAATTGCATCCAACAGCAAGGCCTCTGATTGGGAGGTTTTGAAGAGTGTGGAACAACCTCTTAATTGCTGTTGTTCCCAGGTCCACGCTGACCCAGGGTGGTGGCACTTGTTAGGATCCCAGCTATGGGTAAATAGTTTCCCCCTCCCCCAAACTGGAGTCTGAATACTAAGAAAGTGTAAAGATGTATTTTTATAATAAAAATACCAGCAATACAAATGACAATATATAAAATTCACATTCACAAAAAGCGATTCCCTAAAACTACACATTTCCCTCAATGGTGCCACCTGTTTGCCATGGGTGACAAACTGTGATAGCTAGGGATGGAGTCTTGGTGACTGAGTGACTCCTGATCTGGTATAAAATGACCAGGAGTGTTCACAACACATCACTTCGATCTCTACCTGGGATGGACAGGTGGATGAAATAGCCCAATCCATTCCAATTGGCTATTCATGTAGTGACAAGGGCTATTTGGGATGATAGATAATGGCTCCAACATGGCTTTGAATCCTTACACCATACTATATTTGGATAGATATGGTGGGGAATGCGGGTACTCATATTCACTTTCATCATAACTATACAGTCTGTGTAGTCATGGCGGATCAGGTCAAATGCTATTAGTCTCCCCTGGTAGTGTCCCTTAAGAAGGAACTCCGAGGTGGGTGGCGAACACAGATGGTGAATACAAAATTCAAAATTATATGGCTATCTCTTATAAACAAACCAAGAGACAACATGAGACTTCTGAAACAGAAAGTGAAAATGAAATATAAAAAAAAAAAAACAATTTCCAACTTTCATAGTTATAGAATCACTAGATGGTGAAATATCAAAAGAAAAGAAACTTTCATTAACTTGAAGGCACCGAAATAGAAAATGACTGATCAACATAAATTTCTGGTAATTTTTTTTGAGAAAAAAACTTACATTCATCCCCCACTTAAAATACATAAAACAGAAATGCTTTAAAGCATTACAATTACTATGGGTTGTGGCTAATACTGACTGGGGAGAAGGTCACATATCACTCCTAAAATTATATAGAGCTCTAATAAGATCTAAATTAGACTACAGATGTTTCATATATGGTTTAACCCGGAAATCCTATCTAAAAATCCTTGATCCATACATCATACAGGATTAAGACTGGTTTATATGCTAAAACTCATGTTTATTGATCACTACATGTATTGATCAATTTTCAGATTATATACATAATGCTCAAATCCAACATATGTAATTGTGTGAAAAGGTAACAAAATTGCTGATATGTGGTTCTTTAGTTGCCATTGATAAGTGAAGTGATTAGGTGTAAGGGTGTTGTTGATGAGGCTGAGAGTTGAAAAATTTCTTGGGTCAGTTGACCAAGATCATGTTGGTGGCACTGAGAGAGGCCTGGAGTAGATCAATGAAACCGGATGGTAGCACAAGTGGGGTGTCATTGTCAGGGTTGATTTGTCTATCTTCAGGGTTGAAATCAACACTGGTGAGGTGTGTGGATGGGCCAGTGGTCTTGTGGTGTTAAGGCGTTGAACAGTTGTCAGTGAAGTGTGCAATTTTTATATCTGTGGTTTAATAAGTGCTGGCTCCCATGCTCATATTTTTTAAAAACATTTTGCTGGCACCATTCATGATTGGCTATTGTATTTTAGATTTTTGCAGAGATTTCTTTTGTGGACTGAATGTGATACTCAGTGCCCCTGCACAGAAGACAACTTTTTTATTTTGTTTTGCTTTCTTAGTGTTCACATCCAGCTGACATATCTAGTGAAATGTATTTGTGAATCAGAAAGTGATCTTGAAAAAGTAATATAACATGCCTATATGCCATTGTGATATTCAGAACACTTGCCTTTTCCTTTCTGGAACAAGCCTTTTCCTAGTAATCTCCCTTTTGACTTACTATCAATTTCCTCCCTTTGTTGTTGACTCTTCAATTGATAAAGGAGCCATCTTGTTATCTTCTTAAGGTCTCACATCTTTTTAATTCACCCATAATACTTGTTACATTATCATGCACACTTCATATACTGAATGTAACAACTATTATAAGACTGAGGTAGTATTGTTGGGGACGTGCAGAGTTTGTTAATTATGTTAGAAAGAATCAGAAGGAATTTGAGTGACTTTCTGCATCCCCAAACAAATAGATAAACGAAATTTAAAATGCAATTGAAAAACGAGACATATTCAATTAGAAATCAATACAACATTTATATACAAATCAAACAATATACAGACAGGATAATTGGTGTATGTTGTGTAGGCGAAATGTGTATGTGGTTTCTTCAGATTTCAGAATGTCTCTCTTCGTAATTGTTCGTTCATTTGGAGTATTTTTTGTTTGTGTCAATATTTGTGATTGTTGATATTAAGTGTCTTATAGAAAGAGTTTTTTAAGAGTGATCTACCTTTAACTGTAGTATTTTTCTAAGGTCGTTCGTTCGTAGAGTTTACTTAATAAGTAGTGAATTTGATTCACTTTAGATAAGCAAAGTTGAGAAATGATGTACACAGAGTTGATTGAATCTTGATTGAGTATGATTCAGCGATGTATCTTTTTGCGCGGCAAAATCGTGATTCATAGTGACGTGGAGTATTTTGGAAAGTTCCCTGTGAATGCATGTTACTGACTGCATAAAGTTGGTAATTGTCTTTAACGTCTGGTCAGCAATGACTAAGACGGGAGTCGGTGAATGTTACATCTTGAAACTTGGTAATTACTGCTCCTCGGAAGGTTCACACGTTTTCTGTTTATATAATCACTGGGTGGCTCTCAGCATAAGAGTGGGAAAACAGCTTGGTCGCGTGCAGGCGGTTTGATTGGTCAGAACTGACCAATCAGCAAGCCAGATTGGAGGTGATTGACCAATGAATACTTGTTATATTGTCTGAAGGTAGAATTTGGCTTACTAGATAGGAAGAGTGTATTTTCTACAAAGAGGTAAGGCTGGTTGTGTTGTGGGAGATTCTACAGTATTGTTGTAAAAATTATTCATTTTATACAACAATGCTGAATGCTTGAACAGAACATAGTGAAAAATAATTACTTTTTCTAATTGATATAAAATACATCATGAATGTGCAGAAAATGGCATGTGTTAAACATTATTCTTGTTATATAGAGTTAAACCAATTTAAACTACTAAATTTAATAAAATTCATTTAGCTCTAAAGATTATTCATTCTAATTTCCAACTTTGTAAATTTATTTACATTGAAATCAGATATATTATGAATGTATGCATAATGAACAAAAAATTTAGAATATCTTTGCAATGCATTTTGAAGAAAGAGGCTCCATTGTAGCTAAATTGCATCATATACTGGAAGGTATTGATATAGCTGTCTGCCATGCTGTTAAATTTCAATTTGATTTTACATATAAAAATTAAATATAACTTTTGTTTCATTTAAAGGTTGAGCTTTTTTCACCAGTCTTTTCATTGAATCTTTTTATACTTTTTATTTTTTTATACTTTTAATGTGATCAATATTTGATTATAAAACAATAAATAAATAGAGTAAACTGTACAAAGAGAATATGTGTAGAATTATAACAGATAAATAGAATAAAAGTATTTACTATGTTTGGCTTAGTAGGACACAAGACTACAAGTCTGGAGTCCTCACTCAAGATTAAACTTACTACAATGGTCATCGTCTGTAAGACAGGTTTGCTGTTACTAAACTGTTGTATAAATAAAGTAAAAAAGGTAAGTGTTTAACGATGAACGCAAAAAACAATTATGTTTTGTTAGTCTCTTGGCCCTGGAATACAAAGAATCTAAGAATTTTAGTGAATGGTCAATCTGTTATATATCCAGAAGAGAGAACTTATCTCCAATTTCAACTAGTTAAAAGACTGTATTACTGTTACA